ATACCCAACACGGGCTTGAACTCATAACCACAAGATCAAGAGTGACTTGCTCCACTGCCTGAGCCAGCCAGGTGCCCCCTCATTTGATCCTTTCTATGTAATCGTATGTAAAACTGATTTTTAAAGGGAAGAGATGATCGAAGTTAAATTGATTTTCTCGGGATGCCTGGGTGGCCCAGCGGTTGAGCTTCTGCCTTCGGCTCAGGGTATGATCCCTGGGTCCCAGGATTGAGTCCCATATCAGGCTCCCTGCATCAAGCCTGCTTCTCCCTCTACCTGTGTCTCTGCCTCTCTCTCTGTGTCTCTCATGAATGCATAAATAAATAAAATCTTTAAAAAAATAAAATAAAATAAATTGATTTTCTCTGTGGGTTCTGAGAGCAGAGTATTTGTGACTTTTTCAGCCCACAACCTATCAACACAGGGAGAGGATTTGTTGGGCAAGAATCTGAAACAGGAAATTCTCTTCATTTTAGCCCAAGGCTGGGTTTTTTTATTCATTTGATTCGTTCATCACTAAAAATAAGTGCCACTTCATATGTAAAAGCAGCAAGTGGTATCAGTAAAAGCAGAAAGAAGCAGCTACAAAGATCAGCTAGTGACGGCCAGGTAACAAACACCCCGGGACGCCCTAGTGACTTTATAGGTGAGATCTACCAAACTTTCAAGGAATGGATCATCTGATTTTACACAAGTTCTTCCCCAAAATAGATAAAGAAGGCAAAGTATTTCCGGGCGGCTCGGTTGGTTAAGCGTCTGCCTTCAGCTCAGGTCATGGTCCCGGGGTCCTGGGGTGGAGCCTCTCGAATTGGGCTCCCTGCTCAGCAGGGAGTCTGCTTCTCCCTCTCCCTCTGCCGCTCCCCCTGCTCATGCTCTCTGTCTCTCAAATAAATAAAAAAGAAAAAGAAGGCAAGCCATCTCATTTTAGGAAGTTCTGACTTCACCTAAAGACACCACAAGAAAATTAAAACACCAGCCTCATTCACTTAGGAACATAAATGTGAAAATCCTACATAAAACATGGGCCAACCACATCCAAAGGTTTATTGAAAAGGACACCATCCAACCTGATTAAGTCAAGTGCATCCCACAAATGCCAGGATGATATGCTCTTCTTTCCTCTGGACAGAGCTCCATCTTGCTGAGAGCAGCAGCCTGTGCCCAGCCCCCAAGGGATGGGCCACGATTAGTCACTGAAGCCTATCTTCTCCAGACACTCAGAAGGCAACCCTCTCTTGCAGTAAGAAGCACCATGACCCACCTCTGACCAATGTCACTAGAAGTCAGCCAGGGGACAGGGCTGCTGGGAAAGGTTGTCCTTGGCTGGTAAAAGGAGTGTCACGTACAGTAAAGCAGTTTTGTGCTTCTGCTCTCACCCCTTCCCTTCCACCACCAGATTTATGCATTTGAGGGTGGCAGCCATGTTGTGACCATGAGGTGACTGGGACAGAGGACAAAGATGGTATGCTAGAAGGATGAGCTTCTTGCTACTGAATGATGCTATCAAGCTGCTAGGCCAACCTGAGAGGGGCCCATCTCCAGACTGCTGGCTGGGGAGTTTACTGGCTGGTTGAATCCGTGGAGCAGCGTGTCTGCCACTCTTGACCTTGGGGTTGTGAGTTTGAGCCCCGCATTGAGTATAGCGATTACTTAAATAAATAAATGAACTTAAAAAAAAAAAAAAGGTAATGCCCTTAGATTTTAAGAAAGGAGGGGATCCCTGGGTGGCTCAGCAGTTTGGTGCCTGCCTTTGGCCCAGAGTGTGATCCTGGAGTCCCGGGATCGAGTCCCACGTCAGACTCCCAGCATGGAGCCTGCTTCTCCCTCCTCCTGTGTCTCTGCCTCTCTCTCTCTCTCTCTCTCTCTCTCTCTCTCTCTCAATTAATTAATTACTTAAAAAAAGATTTTAAGAAGGCATTGCTGGTTTTCTATTACGTGCTGCTGAGACCATTTTTTTTAACCATTTCAAATGGTTTATCACCAGAAAAATCTACCAATATTATTAACTGCACTAGTGGACTCATGGAGACAGATCCCATGCTTATACAATTAGAAATAGGAAAATGCAAGGCACCTGGGTGGCTCAGTGGTTGAGTGTCTGCCTTCGGCTCAGGTCATGATCCCGGGGTCCTGGGACAGAATCTCGCATCAGGCTTCTCCTCCCTCTGCCTATGTCTCTGTCTCTCTGTCTCTCATGAATAAATAAATAAAGTCTTTCAAAAAAAAGATAAGATGTTTATGACAGTCTAATGGTCCATGAATAGACACATCAGGTGTGAAAAAGAAAAGGGGAGGGAGTCACCCTGCCAGATATTAAAACATACCACAGAAGTTATAGCAAGCAAGTAACAACAAACAAATACACAAAAACCAACTGCCGCCCCGGTGGCTCAGTGGTTTAGCGCCGCCTTCAGCCCAGAGCCTGATCCTGGGGACCTGGGATCGAGTCCCAGGTTGGGCTCCCTGCATGAAGCCTGCTTCTCCCTCTGCCTGTGTCTCTGCCTCTCTCTCTCTCTCTCTCTCTCTCTCTCTCTCTCTGTGTGTGTGTGTGTCTCATGAATAAATAAATAAAATCTAAAAAAAAGAAAAGAAAAACCTTAAAAAAAAAGAAACAACTGCCACTGCATAGCTGCTGATAAATAGAAGAAGAGAACTGGCTAAGAGCAGAGGAGCTGCCCATGTGCACACAGAAGCGTGGTGTGGGCTAACAGTGCAGTGACATCAGGAAGGACAGGTTAGACCAGCGGACAGGGTAGGTGGTTGCCTCACTGTGTGGGGGAGAAAACAAAAAGGAAAGAAGGAAAGTTATATCCCTGTTTCACATGGTATGCAAAAGTAAACTCCAGGTGGATTAAAGATTTTTAAAAATATTTTTATTTATCTATTCATGAGAGACACAGAAAGAGGCAGAGACACAGGCAGAGGGAGAAGCAGGCTCCCTGTGGGGACCCCAATGTGGGGCTCGATCCCAGGACCCCGTGATCATGACCTGGGCTGAAGGCAGACACTTGAGTGCCTTCACCGCTGAGCCACTCAGGTGTCCCTGGTGGGATTTTCTTAAACAAGATACCATGACCACAAACCATAACACGGGAGAATTTCTGCATGGCTCGATTGGCCTGCAGGCCGGGCTGTCCCGGTGAACAACATGCCCAGGCCACGGGGTCTGGGCAGCCTCCCGGTGAGGCTGGAAGCAGGAGCCGTGAGCGTGGGGTGGCCGCAGACCAGAACCACGGGACAGCTGCCGTTTGGTGTGCTGGCTCCTCTCCCCGCACCGAGCAGGTGTCCCCTGAGGCCCGCAGCCGAGCGGTGTCCCAAGGTCTGCTCGCTGCGGGGTGGAGACGCGGCCACACGCAGCACCACAGCAGCCCTGGTGGCAGGGCTGGGGGAACTTAGGGTGCAGGGACTTGCCCAGTCTAGAGCTTGAAGACCGGCGTCCCTCCTGGGGGTTCCGGAGGAGCTGCAGCCACCGAATCCACTGCGGCGGGGCTGACGGAGGCCCACGGGTAGAGCCCAAGCGACCCCAGGAGACGGCTCCGTGAGCGGCCTTGCTGTGCAAACACCGGGCACAGACATTCCATTCCATCTGATGGCACTCGGCACCGGCCCCATGAAACCCCGTCTCCGATCCTAATGTTATGTTTTAGTCTGGTTCCTCTGCTTACAAGGAAAAGGAACAAATTTAAATCACCTAAAAAAAAGTGTGTGTGTGTTTTTTTTAACCTTCCCGGCAATAATCAATTCAGGCAATTGGGTGCTGCAGTTTACAGGCCAAAGTTTAATTAGGAACAGGGTATTGACATAGCATCAAATACCTCCCCATGAAAGCCCTCCTGAGTGACCAAAGGAAAAACAGGAACTCAATAGTGGAAAAGCTCGGTGGATTCCACCTTAACTGCGTATCAAAGTCAACATCATCAGAAACAGGTCAAATGGACACGAGGTATTTCCTGATACGATTGCCCCAAGAAAGCCACATCACTTCAGTGACAGTTGTGCCAGAGAAACACACCCAATATCCAATCACGGGAAACATCAGGCAGACGGAGGGAAATTCTACATAATTGAGGGACATTCTATGTAATCACTGGACTGTGGTTTTTCAAAAATGTCAAAGTCCGAAAAATAAAGACAGTTTAAGAAACTATAGGAAAGCAGGGGCTCCTTGGGTGGCTCAGCAGTTTTGCGCCTGCCTTTGGCCCAGGGCGCAATCCTGGAGTCCCGGATCGAGTCCCGGGATCGAGTCCCGGGATCGAGTCCTGCGTCGGGCTCCCGGCATGGAGCCTGCTTCTCCCTCTCCTCTGCCCGTGTCTCTGCCTCTCTCTCTCTCTCTCTCTCTCTCTCTCTCTATGTCTCTATGTCTCTCTATGTCATAAATAAATAAAAATAATTTTTTTTAAAAAAAGAAACTATAGGAAAGCAAAGAGCTGTGGTCCCAGGCAGAGGGGGGTAGCCATAAGGGACGTTTTTTTAGATAATTGGCTGAATGGGAATACAAACTCCAGACTAGATGGCAGTAGGGCACCAGTGTTGAGTTTCCCAAAATCAATGATCCCACTGCAGTGAGGTAAGAAAAATGTCTTTGTTGTTAGGAGACACACATGGAAATGGTAGCGGCAAAGGGACATGGTGTCTCCAGTTTCGTGTCAGTTCAGGAAAACTCACTTGAGAAAGGGTGATAAAGCAAATGGGACAAAATGTTAACAAATGGTGCATCTGGGCCAAGTTAATACATAAAATCCACCCTCCTGTGGTACGTTTATCGTCCACTGTGCGACACTGAGAAGTTTGCAATAGAGAGATAGCAAAATCCACCAGGGAGATTTCCGCTTCTGGGAAGATGGAGTGGATGTGCTTTTTCCCTTGTTCAGCCCATAAGTCCAATGAAACCCTAGAATATTCCGTATAAACACGAACCTGGAAATAGGCACAGAAAATAAAATAAAATAAAATAAAATAAATAAAATAATAATAATAATAATAATAATAATAGTGCCTGGGTGGTTCAGTCAGTTGGGTATCTGCCTTTGGCTCAGGTCATGATCCTGGGGTCCTGGGATCAATCCCCAAATCAGGCTCCCTGCTCAGCAGGGTGTCTGCTTCTCCTTCTCCCTCTGGCCCTCCCCCCGCTCATGCTCTCAATCTCTCTCTCTCTGTCTGAAATAAATAAAATCTTAATAATAATAATAAAGCTCCAACAAAAGCCTTCCCTCTCTAGCCAAAGGACCAGGGGAGGGTAGCCTACCATGGCAGAACCTGGGAAATCACCCCTCTGTTCCAGACAAATCCCACAGATACACTGTGGCCGCACCCATACTTGCAAAGGCCAAAGGGTGAGCCTGGATTTCCACCCTCCCCGGGCTTGCAATGAGGCACCCCAACATCCCTGCCAGGGTGGGGTCCCCCTGGGAAGGCTGAGTAGGGGAGCAAGAACTTTCACCCTAGCCAGCTGGTAACCACGGGGGAGCCTGGACTTCCAACCCAGGCAGTCACGAGGCACCGCTTCCCCTCCCCACTGCAGGGCGTCAGGGAGGCCAGGAGGGTCAGGACTGTTGCTCATTTCAGCACTTGGAGGCTGCGGGGACCCCCCCCCCACACAGTAAGAAGCCCCCTGCAGATGTCAACAGAAGCTGAAGGGGGTGCTCAAACTTGTACCTCCACCTGGCAACACGTTTCTTTCCTCAATAGAGTGGTGTCAAAAAATGCCAGCTAAAACAGACTCTCATAGGGATGCCTGGGGGGCTCAACGGTGGAACATCTGCCTTCCACTCAGGGTGTGATCCTGGGATTGAGTCCTGCATTGGGATCCATGCAGGGAGCCTGCTTCTCCCTCTGCCTGTGTCTCTGCCTCTCTCTCTACATCTCTCATGAATAAATAAATAAAATCTTTAAAAAAAGCCCACCAGGGATCCCTGGGTGGCGCAGTGGTTTAGCGCCTGCCTTTGGCCCAGGGCGCGATCCTGGAGACCCGGGATTGAATTCCACGTCGGGCTCCCGGTGCATGGAGCCTGCTTCTCCCTCTGCCTGTGTCTCTGCCTCTCTCTCTCTCTCTCTCTCTCTCTCTCTCTCTCTATCATAAATAAACAAAAAAAATAAAAATAAAAAATAAAAAAATAAAAAAAACCCACCAGACTCCTGTAAAATAATACAATAGTGGCCATGTTTCCACACACACACAAAAAAGAATCATTCATCATACCAAGAACTGCAAAGAGCTCGGAATGAATGACAAGGGTAACCAACAGCTCGTCCAAAGGACAGAGGTTCAGTGAGGACGCCTGGGTAATTATTTTAAGGCAGCCATGATAATAATGCTTTAACAAGGAATTACGGGTATGCATGAAACCCATGCAGACTCAATGTCAGCAAGGGCGCAAAGGATCTAAGGAAGCACTGAAGGGAGAGTGTAAAGCTGAAAGGACGGCTGAAATGAAAGCTCAGGGAGCGAGCCATGCAACACAATGGAGACAACAGAGAAAAGAACCAGTGAGCCGGAAGATACAAGTACAGAAATCACCCATTCCGAACAACAGACAGAAAACAGGCTTAAGGGGGGCAGGGGTTGATGGCGCCAGGGTGGCTCAGTGAGTTAAGCATCCGACTCTTGATTTCAGCTGAGGTCAGGATCTCAGGGTCCTGGGATTGAGCCCTGCAGTGGGCTCCGCACAGTGGGGAGTCTGCTGGAGAGTCTCTCTCTACCCTTCCCCATGCTCATGCATGCTCACGCTCTTTCAAATAAATAAATCTTAAAAAAAAAAATAACCCAAAAATAAACTCCCCCATATAAACACACAACAACCCAGAAATATGACCCAGATATCACAGTCCTAGGCATTTCCCTGGGAAAATGGAGACTGGTGTTCACAGAAACGTCTGTACGCTAATGTTTATGGCAGATTTATTTATAACGGCCAACAACTGGAATCAGCCTGGATGGCCTTCACTTGGTGAATGGTTAAACCATGCTACATCCACACGGTGGAACACCGCCCAGCAATAAAAATAAATGAGCTACCTGTGCACCCTACAAACTATGAAACTGCACAGAAGTGTGCAAAGCGAAAAAAGCCAACTCAGAAAAGTCCTATACTGTGTGATCATGCATAGGTGACCTTCTCGGCATGACAAGACAGCAGAAATGAACAGAGCGGTGGTTGTCGGGGGTAGGAAAGGAGCGTGGGTCTAAAGGAGCCACATAAGGGATCCTTACGGGGAGCACAGAGTCAGTATCCAGGTTGTGATATTGCGTGGTAGGTTTGCAAGATGTTACTAATGGGGGGAACTGGATAAAGGGTACCAGGGTCTCTGTCTTATTTCTTACAACTGCATGTGGGTCTGTAATGATCTCAAAAAAACCTTAATGTTTAAAAATCCACCCGAAATTTTAAAAATACCTTTGCAAACAACTCCACTTAAAAAGAGAGAGAAATGAGAGTGCCTCTGCCTATGTTTCTGCCTCTCTCTGTGTGTCTCTCATGAATAAATAAAATCTTTTTTAAAAATTGAGTGGATTTTGAGTAGACCACCAACTAATGTCTCCTGTACGAACTCTTTGAAAAGGAACCACAGCAAACGGACTGAATTGGGCTCTTTGGATGAGATCAATTCTGCCTAATTTAATGCAACAGAGACTTGCTGGAAAGATATTGGACTCACTGGGTACAAATGAACATGGACAACCCAGGACTGCTCAGGAATCAGGTGGCTCTGGTGGCCTTTGTAGGAGGAACCACTCTATGGCTTTTCCTGAGCACTTTCTCAAAGTGAATGCTGTCCAGGTCTATTTTCTCCTTTCTTGTCAACACATTCACCATTTGAAATCCTAGGCCAAGAATAGTTGCCCGTGATTAGGTTACACCCCTGGGCTAAACTCAGGCCATGACAGGAAGGATCCGACGGAAGGAACTTCCAGAGACATTTGGGTCTCCGAAGTGAGAGGGCAGCGTGCCTACTTCTTGACTCCTATCAAATCTGTACTTGTCTGAGGAAGGGAACCGGGGTCCCCTTATCTGAGAGGAATGGATGCTGGATTTTTTTTAGTTCATATATTATCCTTAGATATTACATGATAATACATGTGAAATAGCACAAAGCAGTACTCAGGTGAAAAGTGTGAATTAAAAGTGGATTTACCTGAAAAGCAAGAAAGATTGAAGTGAACTAAGATTTCAAGTCAAGAAGGTAGGAAGAGGGGTACCTGGGTGGCTCAGTAGATAAAGCGTCTGCCTTTGGGCTCAGGGCATGACCCCAGGGTCCTGGGATCGAGTCCCGCATTGGGCTCCCTGCTCAGCAGGGAGTCTGCTTCTCCCTCTGCCTCTCCCCCTCCTCCCTCTCCCGCTCATTATCTCTCTCTCTCTCAAATGAATAAGTCTTTAAAATTTTTTTTTAAAGATAGGAAGAGAACATGAAAATAAACTCAAAGCATGAAGTTATTAAAAGTGGAAGCAGACATTCACCATCAAAGAGGAAAAAAAAACCCAGCAATTGATTAGTAAAACTAATAAATCTGCTTCTTTGACGAATCCAATAAAATAGACAATCTTTGGCAAGTCCAATGAAAACAGGAGAGACTAGGGAGAAAAAGAGAGAAAGACAAAGAGTGAGATACAAACAAACATTAGTGTTATACTTCCAGATATGGAGATTTAAATAAATGATAGAAGTGTTAAAGTGTTCAAACCTGCAAAAATAAATTTGAATAGCCACACGAGATAGATATTTTATGGGGAGCTGTCAATTACCAAAATTGACTCAAGGAACCTCTCAACAGACCTGAAATTATAGTAGAAACAGGAAAGATATTCCAGAAGCTAAATTCCAAATGGCATCTAGTCCAGATAGTTTTATAGGTGATTTCCACCAACCCTGCATGGAATGGAAAATTCCTGTGATCTCAAACTTTTCTAGAGAATATAAAATTTTCCAACTTGACTTATGAGGCCTGTACAACTCTGATAACAAAATAAAACACACAGAAAAAGACCATGTCCCTCAGAAGAAATCTGCGGGCCACTTCTACTTTCTTAGAGATAAAAAGTTCTACATACAATGTGAGCAAACCAATCTAGAATCATATTAAAAGAATTCATAACAGTCAAGTAGGGTTAACCCCAAGCATTCAAAGATGTGAAATTAGAACAAAAGTTCAGCGCATGAACATAGGGAGAGAGTAAAACATAGGATCGTTTCAGTGGGTTCCAAAGCATGTCTTTTCCATGTCTGCAAAGGCCTTCGGTTTAGGAATGTTTGAAGAAGCCTCCTATTACAGAAGCTGAAACCGCCGGACCTGTTCTCCCACACTCCTTGGCAGCTAGGTCACAGGCCGATGATCAAACCGACACACCCAGAATTGGAATTGGGAGCTGGTAGCCCAAGGGAGCAGAGGCGGTGCAGGATTGTGTCTGTGTGCGGGGCGGTTGTGGTTAACACTGGGTCTCCAGCTCAGCAGCTGGGGCTGTGCAAGACCAGTGGGACCTGGTGTCGGAGCAGGAGCAGAGCTTGGTTCACCACACTGGTTCTGCAGTCTGGGTCTGCTCTGGGTAGCTCCAGGTCTGGTTCTCCAGCCCTTACTGGGAAGTGTGTGGAGCGGCCAATGTACATCCAGCAAATCCCTTTTCATCCTCAATTAGCCGGAACATTTTCTGTTGCTCACGACTAAAAACTGTGATACGAATACAGCAATCGTCAACAGCTCCAGGGGCCCCACTCCACATCACTCTCTGCAACTTCTCCCCACACTTCTTGCAGCTTGATTCCTCATTCCCCCCACCCCCCATGCTTCCAAGTACTTTTTGCCGTGGGCATATCACATATTACATAAATATAAATGGCAAATCTATGGATTAACTGCCTCTGGCCGAAGTGTTAATGGTGGTGAGGTGAGCAGACGGGGCAGACTGGTGTGGCTGTGTGACGCCCTGCTGGGACGTTAGTCATTTGAAGGGCCAGTGGACCAACAGTCATGGTGACAGGCTGTCTGAAATAGGCACCCAACTTGTCAGTCTTGGGAAGTTTGGTTTCAAAGTAATCTCTACACCCAACGTGGGGCTTGAATTCATGCCCCAAGATCAAGAGTCATGCATTCCACACTCCACCAACTGAGCCAGCCAGGCGCCCCAAGTCTTGGGAAGTCTTAAAAGCCTCTCCGACAAGGAAGAAATTTGTGGGCTGGGACTTTCCAGATAAGTAAGGACTGCGTATAAGGGGATAAGGGGGTGAGAAGACAGACCAGGCAGAAGAGAGTATGATCTAAAATGAAAGGTGGTGCGGTAAGAGACAGGGCTGGACAGGTAGGAAAGGAACAGACCATGCAGGACCCTGCAGGCCACGTAAGGGATCTCAGAGCTGTCAGGAGCCACTGATGAGTTCTAAGCAGTAGAAGGATACGAACAGATCTGTGGTTCTAGAAGACCACTCCCACATTTAATGGGGAGATGGGAGGTTGCAGAGTTAGGAGACCGGCCGGGAAGCTGTGGTGGGGAGGCCCTAGAGAACTGGTGTCCTGGACTGGGAATGGTGGCAGCAGGGATGGAAAGAAGTGGATTCTGGAGAGATTAGGAGGTAAAATCAGCAGGACTTGGCAACAGGTTGGATGGGGGATGAAGGATGTTAAGGATGTTAAGGATGGCAGTCATGGATAGGGATTGTTTGCACTGACTGAGCGGCTGGATGGGTGGATGACACAGGAGGGTTAGCTATTTGGAGAGATGACGAGCTTAGCTTTAGACATATTGTCTTAATGCCTGTGGAACACACAAGGAATCCAAAGGGCAGGGGACCCAGCTGTTCGGGTGTCTGGAGAGGGGTCTGGCCTAGAGGTAGATTTGAGTCTCTGGGGTGCGTGGATGGTGGTTGAAAGATGGAAACAAATGAGGATCACGTTGGGTTTTGTGTAGCACAAAAGAAAGGAGAGGGCCAGAGACCAAACTCTGGGGGCAGGCTTGCTTTTCACGAAGGGCAGAGGAAGAGGAATCAACAAACACTGAGAAATAACCAGCCAGAGAAGTAAGAAGAAAATAAGGGGCACAGGGCCCAAGGTGGGAGAGGCCACAGGTATGCGTGCTGCACAAAACAAGCGAAGTTATAATGGAGATGAGTCCAGTGGATGCCGGCGGCAGGGGGGGTGCGGGGAGAACCAGTGATCTTGGCACGAATGCAGCCAGTGGGTTGGAGGGAACCACGGCAGAGAGGGCAAAGGGCAAAGAGGGGTGAGGGTTAAAACTGGCAACTGTGAAGGGGAAGCAAGTGGCAGCCAGAGAAGCTGAGAAGCTGGGACCGGTGGTGGTCGGAGTCTACTCCCGATCTGCCCTGTGCAGCCGGACAGCAGGACAAGAGCCACAGGGAGGGCTGGGGGCAGCAGTGAATGGAGGCGATAAGGGCCTGTGTCCGGCAGGGACGCTACTCCCGGGTCACAGGAGTCCCTATCAGGCTGGCATTTCCTCCCCATCCCCGTTCCCTTCCTGCCCCTGACCAGGCCCTCCCTGGAGCTGGAGGAGAGGACAGTCACACCCTGCGGGAAGCTCTGCACCCTCAGAGGTCTCTCTGTTTGCCGGTAAGCAGAGGTGGGGCAGGGGGGGTGGTGCCAGCACACAGGCAGTGGCGCTGGCCACCAAGGCTGGAAGGCGGGGGGTCAGTGTGGGCAAGGGCTAGCAGCCAGGACCCACAAGGTGCCCACTCAAGCTCCCCCCCCCCCCCAGGTCCTCATGCATCTGCTCCTGTGGTTGCTTCTGCTGGCCCGCCTCTGCCGCCCTCAGTTCATCTGCGAGGTCTCCAAGGTGACCAGCCAGGTGGAGGTGAACTGTGACAACAAGGGGCTGAAGGCACTGCCCCCGGGCCTGCCAGGGGACACGGCCATCCTTCATCTGGCCGAGAACCCCCTGGGTGCCTTCTCCACGGCCCCGCTGGGACCTCTGACCCGGCTGGCCCAGCTGCACCTGCGTCAAAGCCAGCTGACCCAGCTGCAGGTAGATGGGATGCTGCCGCGGCTGGAGACCCTGGACGTGTCCCACAACAGGCTGAAAAGCCTGCCGTCGCTGGGACAGGCCCTGCCAGCACTCACTACCCTGGACGCGTCCTTCAATGAGCTGGTGGCACTGTCCCCTGGCACACTCGATGGCCTGAGCCACCTCCATGAGCTCTACCTGCGCGGCAACAAGCTGAAGACACTACCCCCGAGGCTCCTAGCGCCCACGGCCCAGCTGAGGAAGCTCAATCTGGCCGACAACAGGTTGATTGAGCTGCCCCCGGGGTTCCTGGAGGGGCTCGGGGAACTGGACACCCTCTACCTCCAAGGGAACTGGCTGCGCACCGTACCTAAAGGCTTCTTTGGGGACCTCCTCCTGCCGTTCACTTTCCTCCATGGCAACCCCTGGTCTTGTGACTGTGAGATCCTCTACTTGGCTCGCTGGCTGCGGGACAACAGCAATAACGTCTACTTGTGGAAGGAGGGTGTGGAAGCCAAAGCCACGACGCCTAACGTGGACAGCGTGCGATGTGTCAACTGGAAAAATGTGCCCGTGCGCACCTACCAGGGGAAGGACTGCCCCAGACCCGTGGATGGGGATGACATGGACTACGACGACTATGACGACGAGGACGAGGACCTCCTGGGGGTTGAGGCGCCTGCCACATGGGCTGTGGTCAGCTTCTCTACCCACACCAAAGCCCACACAACCCACTGGGGCCTGCTCTACCCAACATTTGCTTATCCAGACCACCAAATGGCCTACTTGTCTTCCACCCTGGAGTTCACTGAGAAACAGACCATGTTCCCGAGTACCCTGGGGCCCATTATGCCCACCACCACCCCGGAGCCCACCACAACCCCAACCACCCCAGAGCCCACCACACCCCCTACCACCCTGGAGCCCACCACAACCCCAACCACCCCAGAGCCCACCACAACCCCCACCACCCTGGAGCCCACCACAACCCCAATCACCCCAGAGCCCACCATGCCCCCCACCACCCTGGAGCCCACCACAACCTCAACCACTCTGGAGCCCACCACACCCTCCACAACCCCCACCACCCCGGAGCCCGCCACAACCCCCACCACCCCGGAGCCCGCCACAACCCCCACCACCCCAGAGCCCGCCACAACCCCCACCACCCCGGAGCCCACCACAACCCCAACCATCCGGGAGCTCCCAATGCCCCCAACCACCCCAGAGGCCACCATGCCTCCCACCACCTTGGAGCCCACCACAACTCCAACCAGCCCCACCACAACCCTAACTCTCTCCGAATCAACCACCTTCTTAGGCATCCCAGAATTAACCTCACCTTGTACTACTTCAGAATACCCAATAGTCCCCTCCCTTGTCCACCTCCCAGAGGCCCATGAGGTGGCTCGAGGAACTTCAGATAGCTCCAGAAACCATCCTTTGCTCAACCCTGACCTCTGCTGCCTCTTCCCCCTGGGCTTCTATATTTTGGGTCTCCTCTGGCTTCTGTTTGCCTCTGTGGTCCTCATCCTGCTGCTGACCTGGGCCCAGCACGTGAAGCCCCAAGCCCTGGCCATGGCCACACACACCACCCATCTGGAGCTGCAGTGGGGAAAGCAGGTGACTGTGCCCTGGGCCTGGCTGCTCTTTCTTCAAGGGTCATTCCCCACTTTCCGCTCCAGCCTCTTCCTGTGGGTCCGAGCTAACAGCCACGTGGGGCCTCTGATGGCAGGACGGCGGCCCTCTGCCCTGAGCCTGGGTCGTGGGCAGGACCTGCTAGGTACGGTGGGCGTTAGGTACTCCAGCCACAGCCTCTGAGGCGACGGTGGGCAGTTTGGGGACCTTGAGAGGCTGTGATGGGCCCTCCTATCAGGATCTTGCTGGGGGTGGGTGGGCAGGGAGCACAGGATTGGGGGGAGGCCTTAAACACCTTTTCTGGGTCAGAAGCCTCCTCTCCGCATTGCATGCACAACCTCAGTGAAGCAGCATGGGCAGGGGAGCCGGACGGGCCACCCAACAGAGCTCCTTATGCTGCAGGAGGGGTTCACAGACCACTCGGACATCACCATTACCTTGGGGGGGGGGGGCGCTTGAGGGAAAAGCAAATGAAACAGAGCGTGATTCTCACATGCAGGTACCTAAGGGAACTGGGGAAGAGATGCACCAAAACGAGAGCCCTTGTCATCCCTGGGGAGCCCAAGCCTAGGGGTTTTCTTCCTCTTCCTGTTTAGCATTTTCCACCATCATATGTTACTTGTATAATAATTAAAAAAAAAAAGTAACTTAAAAAAGCAAGCTTAGTTTCCTTTGGAGATGAAAAGTGGCCAGGGCCCCTGTGGTCAGGAGTGGGAGCCACAGAAGCTAGCGGCTTGGGGCACCTCCTCTCCTCCAGTGGCGCCCACACACCAGTCCCCTCACAGGCACTAATTCCAGCTCAGAACCCACTGCGACTCCCTGGAACGGTGACTGCTGATGTTATACCTGCCTGTAGCCCTGGTGGGAGCCAAGGTGGGCACCTGCTGACACCTGCAGCCTCCCGCCCTGCCCAGGCAGCGATACAGCCAGGTGTGGCCCTGGTGGGGACAGCCACCTGGCGGGGGTTACCAAGCAGCCTCAGTAGAGCGTCCCGCTCACATGCTGGAACACAGCTAATCGGAAGCCACGTCTCTCCTGCTCCCCTAGGTTCCCCCATTCCTCACAACTCCAAGCGGGGCTGCCCGAACCAACACTTAGGGCCCAGAGAACGGGGATGGAAGCTGAACCCACCTGGCTTGAGGCTCCCTTCTCCAGGTGGCATGAACCTGGCAACTCAAGGGCACCTCTCCTGTTCTGAACCGTCCTGGACACGGGACAAGTCCTGAGCTTGGCAACCAAGGGCTTCCGTGACTTCTATGCCCCCAGCTGACCTCTAGCAACAGGTGGTCCACTATTGGAGCTGCAGCTGTTATAAGCTTTCAGATCACCTGCCACCCCCTCCACACACACCTGGTGTGTTTCCCCCTGGGTCTCCTGCTCCACTCCCCATGCCACCTGCCCCTGGGCCATCTTCCCCTCTGGACTTGAACCTCTTAGGGACACGGCCTGGGCTCCCAGTGTCTCGGAGAGGCCACCCTGGCCCAGGCCAGCACGCACCAAGAGTGGGTAAGAGAGGCAGAGGCGGGAGGGCCCAGCAGGGGCGCCTGGCTGCCCAGCTCGTCTTCTCCTGAGGAGGCTCTGCCAAGGGGACAGTTTCCACCTGCTGCCTGCCTGTCCCCTGGCCTGGCTCAGAAAACTCCGGGCCTCACGTTGTCTAGCCCTCCTTCCAACTGACCTTCTTGTGACCTTTTACGCCCCAGATTATTTAGGCTCCTTGAGGCAGGGCCTGGGAATCACACATCTTCTACTAAAGAAATGGATAGGGCACTCACTTTCCATGAGGTGGGGCTCAAATCCAGTCTCTGGCCACCACCCCCAAGCCCCCACAGGTCAGAGGTCAGCCTTCCTCTCCTCTTCAGGCTTTCCTGGGCACCTTGTGAGATGACCCATGCCTCTGACGTTCTTGGGCAAGTAGCCGGGAAGCTCCACGCGGGGCCGAGTGTGGGTTTTCCTTACCTGTGTGCAGGTGCTGTGCCACTACCACTTACGTAGCCTTCGCACACACCCAGCAAACACCTTTTAAGACTGTGGTACCTGTTCTCTGGACACCTCAGCCGCTCCGTGCAGCCTCCTCCCCTCCCACCCCCACAACTATCCAGATCTGGGGGGTGGTGTCATCAATCCAATTTATTGATCATGTCCTCGGTGAGGTGGAGGAAGGGTCACGTCCTTCCACTGCAGACCTTGACCATCCTGATGGCTTCTACTGTCTCCTGTCCCTTGGCCCTGCCTTGGTTTACCGAGAAGGGGGGGGGTCTCTGCCATCCTACATGCCCTGAAACTAACACCCGAGAGGAGGCCTGGAAACCTGCAGAGTTTCCCAACTTCCCCCCACCCAAGGCACAGCCAGGGGCAGAGAGGTCATGAGGATCAGGACCAGGAGAGCAAGGCGGAGCAGGGATAGGACAGACCCAAGTCCTTTACGGCAGAGGACAGAACCACACTGTGGAGGGAAAATAAATAGAGGGGCCCAGGGTGGCAGAGTCCAGGCCCCCGGGTGAGAGTAGCGGGTAAGCAGAAGCCCCAGCACACCGGCTCCAGGCCCCTTGCCCGCCTCAGCTGCTGAGGAAGAGACGCTTGTAGGCCTTGTTCATCTGCTCCAGGAAGATGAAGGTGAGGACGGTGTGAGGGCCCAGGCGGGCATAGTACGGTGTAAAGCCCTTCCACAGGCTGAAGAAGCCCTCATAGCGGACAACCTTCACCAGCACGTCCTAAACAGGCAGGCAGGCAGGGCGCTGGAGCTAGGATCTGGCTTCTAGGGCTGCATCCCTATACCCATGGCCCTCCCCACCCTCCTGCCCCAGCCCCCGGCCCCGCCTCTGCCTCCTCACCAGCCCATTCTTGTATTCTGGCTTCCCGTCAATCATTCTCATATTCTGGATCCTAAAGAAGAGGACACAGAAGTATGAGAAACATAAAGCAGGTCCTCCCATTCTGCTCCAGGACCAAGCCTGCACAACTCACCGGGTCTTGACGATGTCCACGGGCATGGAGGCAGCAGTGGTGACCAAGCCACTGATCATGCTGGCACAGAAGTGGCACAGGATGTTGTCAGAGAAGTAGCCTGGGGGAGGCGAGGCAGGGGTGACAGTCAGTGTGGAGCTGGCCCGGGGCAAGGCCGGGGGCTGAGGGCCCAGCTCTGGGTCTCACCTGAGTCCAGTAAGAACTGCTTGGATTGGGAGTAGGAGGCGAGCTGGGCTGCATTGACCACAACAGCACGAGCCATGGTAGGGATGCAGCCCTGTTGGGAGCGGGGATGGGGGTGAGGTTGTGGTGTCAGAAACGGCTGAAACCTGCCCCCTCCTGATACCCAGTCTCCATCCCCTTCACTCACCCTCCATAATGTGGGGACTCCCTCCTCCCGGGCGATTCGGATCAGGGCATTAAACACATTTTTGTAGCCACGGCGCTGGTCAGGTGGAAGCCTAGTGGGAAGGTGGGGAGAGGCCAAGCTCAGGATACACCACTCTGCCCCACAGGAGCAAAGAAAGGGAGGTCAGGACACATTAGTGCTCTGCTCCAGACCAAGAAATCCGTTCTGAGTCTAGATTCCAGGGAACAGAGCTAGGGCAGGCTCAGACCTGGAACTCACCGGCCGTCGGCGGTCATGCGGATGAGTGCCACCTCAGCTGGCGTTCCCACAAAGGCACCAGTTGCACCTGCCGTCATGCCAATCAGGGCCTTCAGCAGAAAGCCAGGGGGTGTACCATCAGCCCCCGTCAGGCGCTCAAACAGCACCGTATAGATGCCAAGGCGGGTGGTGGTGTAGGTGGCCTGGCGCAGCAGGCCAGCTGACAGCCTGGGGAGTGAAGGGGTCAGTGCATCAGGCCCAGGTCTGGAGTTGCCAACCCATACCCTACGCCCCCATCTTCTGGCCCCAGTACCCAGTGTAAATGCCCCTCAGCCCTTCTGCCCTCAGGATGCTGGTGAGGGCATGGAAGCTAGTTTTGTACTCTCGTGTCTTGGCTCCCTCTCCGCTCAGCTGCATCCGGTTCTTCACCAGATCCAGCGGTTGCACAAACACCGTAGCTCCCATCCTGGAAGAAGACAGAAGCAGGGTCAAAAGCCAGGTGTCCCTTGACTACCGTCCTATGCCCACTGGAACCTAGCAACGAGATGTCACAAGGTACAGGGCTTGCCACGTGATTAACTAAGTGTTCAGGAGGCTAGTGGCTATGTGTGTAGGTCTCTGCGTGGACCAACAGCCACAGGTCTGAAAAGTCCAGCAGTCCAGCGAGGGCCATATAGTGAAAGTGTTCCACGGAGTTCCAAGGGGGTCAAGTGGTGACCTGAAACTGCCTGCAGTCCAACCCAGAGAGAGGAGAGGGGGCACTCAGGACCTGCGGCTTCGCGCAGTCCGACAGGTACCATGCAATGACCTGGAACCGCACACGATCCGGGAAAGCCAAGCAGCGGGTGCGAAACTCCAGAGAAGGCCGGGGGGCCAAGCAAGGAGGCTGCGAGCAAGGAGGGTGCACGCAGCCCAGCGGGGGCCGTGCATTGGGTGAGAAGTCCTGGCAGCCATCAAGAACCTCGGCAACGCGCTGGGGACCGCGCTGACCCCGTGCCGCACACCCGAATCCCAAGCGGGCCCGACTCCTTGCAACCGGCCCTTCCTCCTCCCTTCCCGGCCCCGGGGCCCGAGCTTACCCTGCCAGGCCCCCAAATAGGAACTTGACGGACTTAGGGGAGGTGCGGGGCTTCCCGTCCACCCCGCCGGCCCCAGGACTCGCCGTCGCCGCCATCGCCGCTCAGTGGCCCTCGGCGCCGGGTCCTGTGCGCGCGCGGCCCCACTCGCGCCCAAGGTGACACCGCGCGCGCAACAGGGCCGAGGGCGCGCGCACGCCCCTCCGGCTCTCGGGTCCAGCTCCAGCTGGAAGCCGGCGCAGGCGCAGGCGCGCGGCGCAAAGGCGGCCGGGAGAAAGGCGGAGCCGGAGGCGGGGCCTCCAGGAGGGGAGCGGGAAGGGGTGTGGCCGGCTCAGGAAGCCAGAGCTTAGACGCAGTTTTCACGGGATTGGACTCGCGGGAAAATAAGAGGGTGTCAGGAGATCTCGCGAGACAGAGTGAGCCTGGGAAGCCAGAGCGAGGTGTGGAGGTTGGCCTGGGTATGGGGTGGGGAAAGAGGGTGTCTCTCGCGATAGCACGCAGCGAGCATTCGGAGGGTGGGAGGGAAAGTGTGGCGAGGACTCTCGCGAGACCGGAAGGTACCGCGGCCGCGGCGGCGGCGGGCCCGGGATGGTGGAGAGGTTTGTAAATCGGACCGCTCCGAGATCCCGGGCGTCAGAGGGGGAACGACTAGGTCGTCTGCTGGGGCTTGGGCGCTCGCTGCATCTGCAGAGGCACTCCCTCCACCCACCCTCCCTCCACTCCCAACCTTTCCTTTGACAGGCCTTTCAGGACCGGAAGTCCTTCCTCTTGAGCGCCCAATGCCGGAGGCGGCCTGACTTTCTTTCCCGGAAGCCCTTTTCCAGCCGCGAGGAAGACAGTTCACCTGCCCGGAAGTCCCGCCTCCCGGGGGTTCCCCACCCTGCCAGAAGTTCTCCTGTCACCTGTGCGGGCTTCCGGGCCCCCTTCCCGGGTTTGTCCCTGCGCCCGCGGAGGATCTGTTTGGTGTCTCCTTCCCTGCTCCACGGGCCGGGCTGGGGACCCCGCTCCCGGACCCAGGGTTCGACCCCCGCGCCCCCATGTAGCTGGGAAGCGGGGCCTGGGGGTGGTCGGACCCCTGGGATTCTGAAGGGGGACGGAGAGGGCGCGGAACCCCGCTTGTGCCGCTGCTGCCGGGACGCGGCGTCCTCGGGATCCCCTCGTCGCTGCCATGCTCCCCGCGGCCTTCCCGCTTCCTGTGGTCGTGGCCGCCGTGCTGTGGGGAGCGTCCCCCGCGCGGGCGCTCATCAGAGCGGTGAGTCTGGGGACCGGTGCGCGGGGAGGGGGCGCCGGGGGCGGGGCTGCAGGGGGGGCGTCCCCCGCGCGGGGAGGGGGCGCCGGAGGGCGGGACTGCAGACTCCTGGCGGAACACGGGCTCTCCTGTCCGCAGACCTCCGACCACAATGCCAGCATGGACTTTGCAGACCTACCAGCTCTCTTTGGGGCTGCCCTGAGCCAGGAGGGACTTCAGGTGATTGCTTTCCTTTTGACCCTTTTCCCTACATCCTCTCTTGTGGGCGGGGAAGGGGATTAGGGCAGCCCTTTGCCCTCGCAGGGGCTTGACGCAGTGTAGGAAGTACAGGTGCAGGAGCGCAGGTAGGATGGAATTCGGAATCTGGTGGGAGAAGACAGTCTGCCCCCCGGAACCGTGAGCCTGGTGGAGGGGCGCTGGAAATAGACTACGATGACAGGTGGGCATGGGGTCAGCAGGATCTCTGGAGCCAGCTCTAGGGTTATATGGTTCTATGACCTCTCTGCAGCCTGGTATGTGTTACTGTAAATAGGGTTGAGGGAGGTTTTCTCGAGGTTATTGTAAGAATCAAGTTATTTTAGTGGTTTTGTAATACTTCAGCATCAAGTCTGTTGTGTTAAAGCAAAAACTCAGTTGGGCCATAGGTGCCCAACTGACTAGTGTAGTTGTTAGCAAGAAGGGTGGTTGGATGATTGAGCAATCGAACGTGGTAGGAAAGAAAGAAACAAAGGAACACTGCCAGTGTGGGAATTTTCAAGGTCTTATTGGCTTTAGTCAACAGTTCGTGAATCGGGCAGCATCCTGTCTAACAGATAGAAAGGAGCTTCGAAGAGCTGTACGGAAATGACAGACTTTTGTAGGCACGAGGTGGCAGGACAAGTAAGTTTATGCTAGTGGTAGAACTGACCGTAGCGAGATGGTCTTCCTGAGAGGGATGGCAAGGATCTGTTGGGCAGCTGACCTCGCGAGATCTGAGCAGGTGATTCCAGATGGGCTGGTTTACAATTCTGTTCTTGGGGGAGGCCGAATCTGTACTTCAGTTAGGTTTTTAAGTCTCAGTTTGGTGCTGTGGGGCTTAGCACAAGTGACTCCGTTTGGGGGCTCTTGCTGTATTCCTAACAGAGGGGAGTGTGTCCTGTAGGAGTGTGTGCTGGGGAGGGGCCCGGGGAACAGAGCCTGCCAGGGAGCGACCCGGCTGAGCAGAGAATTGGCTTACAACATGGGAAACTGAAGGCCGAAGAATCTGAATTAGCTTGGAGTGTGGGACAGGGAGAGGGGTGATGGGGGGTTTGGCCAAGGGCTATCGTTTGAGGCACTTGCATCTTCAGGAGGTGGACTTCTGAGTGGGGCCGGATGCTCCAGGGTGAAGGAGTGAGGGGCAGAGTATGTGCAGTGGGGGGGAGCCAGTATGTTAGGTGGGCCCCTGTGGGGAGTGGAACCTGCGGACATGGAATCCAACTGCTGTTTGTTTCTCTTCCCCAGGGCTTCCTTGTGGAGGCTCACCCAGCCAATGCCTGCAGCCCCATTGCCCCTCCACCCCCAGCCCCGGTCAACGGGTCAGTGTTTATTGCACTGCTTCGAAGATTCGACTGCAACTTTGACCTCAAGGTTGCTGACTATGGAGGGGGAGCTGGGAAGCTGAGGGTGACCTGAGGCACCGGGATGCAGGGAGGCCAGGGCCACAATGGCCCCTCATCTCCTGCCTCGTCTCCCTAGGTCCTGAATGCTCAGAAGGCCGGGTATGGCGCAGCTGTGGTCCACAACGTGAACTCCAACGAGCTTCTGAACATGGTGTGGAATAGTGGTAAGGTGTGGGGGAGCGGGCATCCAGACAGCTGGGATTTCCGTAGAGCTCAGGCTGGGATGGGGCCGGGGATGGAGGTGTGGCTGAGAGCTTGGGGAAAACAAGTCAGTCCTTTGGGTGAGATGGAGCCAAAGAGCTAGTGCCAGGCTTAGCGAAGGAGTTGAGTAGGGGGGTCAGGTCCACAGCGTCATGCCCTGATCCCCGCAGAGGAAATCCAGCAGCAGATCTGGATCCCGTCTGTGTTTATCGGGGAGAGGAGCTCTGAGTACCTGCGTGCCCTGTTTGTCTACGAGAAGGGGTAGGACGGGACCCTCCTTCCCACTCTTCCTTCTTCAGTCCTTCCCAGCCAGCCTGGAGCCCTGGCCACCCAGCCCCAGGCCTTCATCCTCTGCCTCTAGACTTTCCTCCCACCCCACCCCCTGCCCATGGGCCTCATCCAGCACCAGTCACCCTGTCCCTTTGCCTTTCCTGCTCCTCTGATCCTGGCCTTCTTTCCCCAGGGCTCGGGTGCTTCTGGTTCCAGACAATAGCTTCCCTCTGGGGTATTACCTCATCCCCTTCACAGGGATTGTGGGACTGCTCGTTCTGGCCATGGGAGCGGTGATGGTGAGTAGCTCAGAGAGTGATGGGAAGAGCTGAGGCCTTTTAAAGCCAGACTGAATCCATGCATGGGAGGTGGAGGGGGGCAGGGCTCCATACTGGGTTTGCCCAGTTTTGTTCCCTAAATCAGATCTGTCCACACCTCCTTTACCCAGGTAGTTCGTTGTATCCAGCACCGGAAGCGGCTCCAGCGGAATCGACTGTCCAAAGAGCAACTGAAACAGATTCCTACACATGACTATCAGAAGGGTGAGAGATGTGGGGAGAGGCAGGGCCCTTCCCACAGCTCGCCTGGTTCTGAGGGAGTTTTGAGCTCAGGGGACCAGGGGTGAGGATGGCAGAAGGTGTTGGCCTGGGGTGCCAGCTTCCCTCCTCTTCACTCATACACTTGGGGAGGACAGGACAGGAACAGAACAGGGTGAGGAAAGCACGGATGAGTAACAGAATAGTGAGGGGGTGGGAAGCTGGAGAACTGACCTTGCCCCTAAGGGAGGGGGTGAAGAGAGCAGACACATGGAAGGTGGGGAGGAGGTGGTGTGAGAAGGAAGCAGCAGGTGAGGAGGGGAGGGGTGTCCAGGCCCTGGAGCCTCAGTGCCCATATAAGGCCACAGTAGAAACCCTGCCCCCCACTTCCGCTCCTCCCACTCCCTTTCTCCCCACAAGAAACCCACTTCCCTTCTTACCTTTGCTGGTCCCTTCTAACCCCAGATTCTTCATGTCCTATTCTGGCCTCACCCTGCCCATTCTTAGCTCTTCTGTGGGCTCTGTAGGGGCAGCGGGGGGGGGGGGGGGGTACCTGGTATGGTTCAGCTCTCCCAGAGTGATTTGGGGTTCCGGGATGGCTCAGTGAAGGGCTTTTTTTCCTCCCCAGGAGACCAGTATGATGTGTGTGCCATCTGCCTGGATGAGTATGAGGATGGGGACAAGCTGCGAGTACTGCCCTGTTCTCATGGTGAGGCCCTCACTTCCTGCTACCACCGCCGCCACCCCCACCCCTCCACAGGTGCCAGGTGCTTCACCGTGTGCCCCTTGCAGCCTACCACAGCCGCTGTGTGGACCCCTGGCTCACCCAGACCCGGAAGACCTGTCCCATCTGCAAGCAGCCTGTCCACCGGGGCCCAGGGGATGAGGAAGAGGAGGAAGAGACACAGGGGCCAGAGGGTGATGAGGAAGGGGAGCTGAGGGACCAGCCTGCTTCAGAACGGACCCCACTTCTGGGCTCTAGCCCCCCACTTCCGAGTTCCTTTGGCTCCCTAGCTCCTACCGCTCTTGTTTTCCCAGGGTCTTCAACAGATCCCCCTTCCTCCCCTCCATCTTCTTCAGCTGCCATCCTGGTCTAATGTCCCCCCTCATCCCCTCCCCACACCTCCTGTGACCTATTTGCACAGCCCCTGAGCCTCTCCTCTTGTGCTGAGGGACAGGGGACCTTCTGCCCCAGGTTGCTCCTTTATCCAGCCCCATCCTTTTGAGGGGGTTGGGGGTGTAAAGGGCCTGAGGTCTTCACTTACTCAGTAAATAAAACTGTTTTTGTGAACTAAGGAAGGGTGAGATCATTTTCAGGCAGGTGAACTACTTATCTTTTTGGGGAATGTGCACCCCCCCTCCCGCTTTTTGCCACAAAGGGGCAGGGGAGTGCTGGGAGAGAACCTGTAGCCATGGGGACAGCCCTAGCAGGCATATACTGTGACTCAGAGAGGGGGAGCCCCACCCACACAGGGATGACTCAACTGGTCCTGCCTTGCCCGCAGGCCTGGACCCATTCTCTTGTCCAGCTCTTTTCCATTATCTACCAAGACCTAGGGCTGTGCCACCTGACCAGGTGGGCCTCTGGCAGGTGCTGCTTTACCCCCTGGGCAGGACTCAAGAAGCCCAAATGCCTAGACTTTGGAGTGCCCTTGACTCCCTAACCCGCAGCCAAGATAGCGGTGGCAGGTCATGGGAACTGTCCACCCCGACACCCAGGCCAAACCACACAGCACCTTGTTAGTAGAATCTTTTTTATTCAGAAAAAAAAAAAAAAAAAAAAAAACCCAAAAAACAAAAAAGTTTTCCAACCACACACAGGAGGGGTTTGGGTAGGGGGAGGTGTCTGTCCATCCAGCCCCAGCCCCCAGCCCATGTGGTTTTGGCAGCAATAAGGGGTGTGGGGTAATGGCCCAAAAAATAAAAATGGTGTATGTGTGTGTATGGGGAGGAGAGGGGTGCAAAAGCAGTGGGGAGTGGTAGGGGGCGGGGACAGACGAGGTCAGTACTGGGAACGCCGCAGGTGGGAAGCCATTTCATAACATTTCTTGTTGATCATACCACCGTGGACACCTTCTTTGCCCATCAGCAGGACTAGCGCTGGAGGAAAGAGAATGGAGGCTAGGACCCAGGTGTCACAACCCACCCCCTGCCAGCTGTTGAGCAGCTGTCCAGCCCTGGGGGCTGTAACCCAACCTCCTCTCTCCCAACTCCCCCAACACACAGGCAGGCTGTCAGTCACTTTGAAACAATGGGGCTTTTCAGGAGAGAGAATCAAGCTTAGGGCTCCAGAGGGTGAAACGGGTGAAACTAATTTAGGGACCAGGGATTCAGGCTCGGAATAATAAGCACAGTGGGGCTTATTACCCCAAGGCCTAACAGAGTTGAGAAGACACCCGGTCTTCTGACCATCAGTCTACCCTTTCCCAGAAATCAGGGTTTCTGCCCCCCAGAAGGCTCAGGCCAGGAAGGAACAGAAGAGGTAATGCAGTTCAAGTTCTATTAGGAGACGAGGAACTGAGGAGTGGAGGAAGCACCCAGCGGCCCTGTGATCTCCTCATACTGGGGAGCCACAAAGGAAACCCCAGAGGCTAACAGGTTCATGAGGGGACATCGGAGGCCGGGAGGCAGTCAGGGGTCACAGAAACTCACTCTTGGCAGTCATGGTGACAGTGATGTTGAAAGTGGGCGCTCCACCGCTGCTCTTGGTACGAAGGTCCATAGTAAACTCCCCATCCTGCAGCAGCGAGTCCCGGATCACAGAACACTTCTGGCCTCCCAGTGTCAGCCCGTTCACGAAAAAACTCGACCGGTCTTTGCCAACCAGGACACCGACCTCAGCTGGCTGCAAGGGGAAGGCAGCAGCCGTCAGGGTCAGGATTCCCGGGTTTCCCCCTGCCCTGCACCGCGCCCCACATGGGGTGTATGCCGTCTGCTTTGTGCACACGTGTGGAAACCGACAAACTCCTAAGAGACTGCTGAGACACGGGAGACCATATCCCAGGGAACGGGGCGGGGGGGGGGTGGTGGTGGGGGCGAAGCCAGAGCGGACAGTGGCATGGCAGAGCCGGGGAGCCCATGGACGCGCACCACGCTCCTCCAGGAAAAGCAGAAGCGTGGAGGGGAAGGGAGGGGGCGGGCGGAGCAGGAGGCAACTTTGTCCTTATTTGGTCAAAGGTTCTGCAGGAGCCGCAAGGGGCCCGGACGCCTGGGTCTCCGGGCGCCGAGTCCAGGGCAGGGGTGCGGTCCCCAGACCTGCGAGCCGACCCCGGGGGCCCTCCGGGAAAGTTGGCCAAGTTGGCACGGGGGTGCGGGACTGCGGCCGGCCAGACCCGGGTCCACGGACCCCAGGGAACCTCTCCCCTCCCCCGAACACCCCAAACCCCCACATCCGGTCCCCTCCCGCCCGGAAATCCCCTTCCCCCCCCTCCCGCACTTCCGCTCCCCCTCCCCACTTCCGGGCAGCGCGGACAGGGGAGGTGGTGATGGGGACGGCGGCAGGCATCCCTCCTTCCACAAGTCGCGCGGCCCTGCAACTTCTCCCAAAGTTCCCCCGCGCCGGGCCCCGCCGGATGGCGGGAAGGGAGGGCAAGGGGACTTCCGGGCCGGGGCTCAGGGAGCGCGGCGCGCGCGGCGCGCCGACTTGGGGGGGCGTGGGGCGGCCTCGCCCTCCGTAACGGGGCCGGGCGGGGCGGGGCGGGGGCCGGGGCGGCCGGGCGGCCTCCCGCGGGGAGGGGCGGGGAGAGGAGACCGAAAAGGAACAATGGTGGCGGGGCCGGGGTCCCCGCTCCCGCCTGGTGCCCGGCCCCGGCGTAACCCGCCGCGCCTGCCCGCCCCGCCCTGGACCAGGCGGAAGTGGGCCTCCGCACCGGGCGGCGCGCCCCTCCCCGCCCTGTGCCCCGGATGTAACGCCCCGGCGGGGAGAGAGGGGCGGCGGGAGGGATGGGCGCCGCCGCCGCCCGGAGCGAGGACCGGGGACCTCGGGGGGCCTGTTCAAGTGCGCTCGCCGTCCGCCGCCTCCGGGCGAGGACCCGGTCGCGGCCCTCGGCCGCCCTGCCCCGACCGCCCCCGCCCCGAGCCGGCCGGTGCCCCGGGGGCGCGCGGGCCCGGTACTACCGTGATGTTGACGAAGGTCTTCCCGGGGACGGCGGCCCACACGGAGGGCGAGTCCTTATAGCCCACGATGGCCGCGTCCTGACAGGTCCCGTCCGCCATGAGGTTGTCGATGTAGGCGTTCCAGCCGGCCATGGCTGCTGCGGGGCTGCTGCGGGGCTGCTGCGGGGGCCACGGACTGGGCTCGGGGCCTCGGGCTGGCGGGCGGGGGGCGGCGGAGAGCTCGGGGCACGCGCTGCCGTCCGGACCGCGGCTCTGCTCGCTGTGCAGCAGCCCTCGCACCGCCACTTCCTGCTCCTCCCCCCCCCCCTAGATTTTTATTTGCAAAGGGCGGCAGGGGCGGGGCCTGCTCCCTTTCCTCCCTCCCCCCTCGCCTGCCCAGATACCGAACTTTGCAAAAGACGATTTTAAAAATCCCTCCCCCTATTGCAAAATTTGCAGAGTTGGGTGGAAAGCTCTGTAAAAGGATGGAGGGTGGGGTGATGGTGGTTGGGGGGAGTGCGGGTGGCAGGGGAAGTTCGGGTCAGGGCCCGCTCCGCTTCGCCTTGAATACAAACGGGACTGTGGTGCCGGGGAAGGGAGCGAGCCGGAGGGAGGAAAGGATGCGAAAGCCGGCGGACGGGCGAGCCGCGCGCCGGGCCGGCGGGGGGTGCGGGGCGCTCAGGGTTAAATGGAACGGCTCCCCCTCCCCCACCCCTGCGGGAGCGCAGGAGCGGCGGCGGCGGCGCGTGCGTCCGCGCCTGCGCCGGGCCGGGCGGGAGGGCGGGAGGGCGCGGGGCGGTTGGGGCCGGCGGCCCGCGGCGCGGGAGCGGGGTGCGCGCGGCGGCACCCAACCCCCCCAGAGGCGGGCGGGACGGAGACGTGTCTCCCGCGAGGCGGAAGGGGCGGGCACGCGGCTCGCTCTCGATTTTATTCAGTCACGACGTGCGGGAGCCCCGGGTCGCGGGGACAGACGGGCCCGGCCGCCCTCAGAGTCCAAGGCGTCCACCGGGAAGGGGGGGCACGAGTGTCTCCAGTATCTGCCCGACAGACACGTGCAGGAGCAGCCCCCCCCCCAGGCAGGCCCAAGCCCCACGTTCCCGCCCCCCGCTGCCAGCACTTCGGGTCACCGGCCGTGCCCCTTGGCCCGGCGCGGCCGAGGTCACTGGGCGAAGGGAGGCAGGGGCGGGACTACTTCTCGGGGCGGAAGAACACGGGGAGGTGGCCAGATTTGCAACTTTTCCAAGAGGGGGAAAGTCCCCTCCCGCTCGGGCCCCTCGGGCTCTTTCTTCTTCTTTTCGGGGAAACTTGTGCTCGGAAGCCTTGCGCGTGGCTCTCGCCGGGCGCCCCGCGGGCAAGGGAGGGAAGGGCAGGGTCCCGCGGCCGCCCTGGTGGGGCTGCCGAGGGTCTAGGCCGCTTCCGGTCGTGGGGAGGGCCGCCCCCGGCCCCCCACGCCCCCCGAGCCCGTTCCTCGACAGCCGCGCCGCTGAGTCACCCGGCCGCTCGGGCGGGGCGCGCTCGGGCACGTGGCGGCGCTCCCCGCCCGCTGGCTGCTGACCTCTGCCCGCCGCACCCCCGACCCCGGGGTGGAAAAGTCCGGGAGGGCGCGGCCGGAGCCGGCGGGCGTGGGGGGGCAAGGCCGGAGCCCCGAGGTGCCCACGCGTCCCGGGCCGGGGCGCACCCCGCGTCGCCCCCAGACCCGCCGCTCAGACCGCAGGGACCACCCCCTCCGGTTCCGTCCCGCCCCGCCATTCATTCTGAGCCCTGGTCAAGGAGCACCGTCCACGGGTAGGGCCGGGGTCGCCAAATCCCCCGCTCGGCTGGGAGAGGGGCTCCCGACCGCCGCTCCATGAGCTGGGCGGCAAGTGCTGTCCCAGCGCCCCGGGCAGGGCGCCGCGCCAAGGCTGAGCGCCCGTCTAAATCGGGCTCCCCGCCCCCTCCCCCACCCCCTGCTGGCCCGGGGCGCTGGGGAGAGCCGGCGGCCCGGGAGGCCGTCATGAGGACCCTGAGAGGTGAGACTCTCTCGCCTCCCTGCATGGGGAATTCGAGGTGGACCTCAGCGCTTGCCCAGACACACACACTGCCCCCATCCCCCGCCCTCCTCCTCCTGGGGGCGCCTGCCCAGGGAGCCAAGCATGTATGGACATCAATCCTACAGCCCCTCTTCCATGCCCTGCCCGGCTCGGGTTACCGCTGGCCTTTGCTAAAAGGCACAAGTTCCACTTTAACCTTTGCAAAGGGGGCGTATAACCCTGGCCAGGGGAGAGACCCCCAATCCGAAGGCCCTCCCAGGACCCTCCCCAGAGCTGGAATTGAATGTGGGGGCTTTTATTGGGGAGCAGAGAGGAAGGAGGGGTCGTCATTGACCTTTGGGAAGGGGGCAGGTGTCAGGGCCAAAGGCTCCCGCATTAGGCTGCAGTGGGCACTTGGCGGCCAGCCCAGTGTGGAGGGGGAGGAAGGAGAGGGAGAGGCGGGGCTGGCCGGGGCGTCGGGTGGCTAGGAGATAAATGCCTGGCCTGAGGGGGTGAGCTGACACTGTCCCAGCTGCCACCTAGGCTCAGAGCTCACCTCGACCCCCCCCCAGCGGAGACATCCCAGGTCTGCTGAGTCTTCCAGTCCCAGAGGATGGGGTGGTGAAGGGTGAGGGTGGGTGCTGGTTTGGACAAAGTTGGGAGAGGTGTCAGCTTTTTCTACCTTCCAGGACAGGGGTGCTTGAGAGAGACTTGGAAGGGTGGGAGTGAGCAGGATGGGGGTACCAAGGACAGGGAAGGAGAGTGTAAGACCATGAGGAGCCATAGGCAGAGGTGGGTGGAGGAGGGGAGGGAGTTGGGGCCTAGTGGGGGATTTGGGGTCCCCGTGGATTTGGAGGAAGATGACAACCAGAAGAGAGAAGAGGGTCTGGGGCTGGCAAGCCACGGAGAGCCGAGTGCTTCCCTGAAAGGGAGGAGGCCTAAGTGCACTCTGTGGGTGATGGGGGTCCAGAGAGACCTGTGGGAACCAGTTAGGGGAGAGGCTGCGGACCCTGAGGATGGAGGTGGAACTGGAGCTGCTGTGAGTGGGGGAGGGGGCTGCGCCTGCCTCTTTAGGCTGTGACCTTTTTGTGGGATATTTTTAGCTCCAGCACCTGCCTTCTTGGGGTAGGGAAGACTCTTAAAGGGCAAGGGATTTCGGGTTCCTTGAGGGATCAACTATCCACACTCAGTCACACCTCTTCTTCTGCAGCCATGGCCATGCAGAAAATCTTCGCCCGGGAGATCCTGGACTCCAGGGGCAACCCCACGGTAGAGGTGGACCTGCACACGGCCAAGGGTATCATGGTTCCCAGCATTGCTCTGCCCTGCGAAACCCCAGCCCACAGGCCCCATGCCCTCTCCTTTCTCTGGGGTCCCCTTCCCCAGAGTCCTCCCCAGGCCTTGCTCCTCAGGCCTGGCTCCTGGACCGGGACAAGGAGACCCCCTGCCCCTGGACGCAGAGAGCCCACCTCGGCCCTGTGGGGGTACCGGGGGCCCTGGATGACGTTCCTGTTCTGCCCGCCCAGGCCGATTTCGAGCAGCTGTGCCCAGCGGAGCCTCCACTGGTATCTACGAAGCCCTGGAACTGAGAGATGGAGACAAGTCCCGCTACCTAGGGAAAGGTGAGGGAGGACCACCGCGGGAGGAGCCTATGCACATGGGGGGCGTTGGGATCTGTGTTCCCAGCCAGAGCCCTCAAGGAGCAGGGGCCCCGGGAAGATGCCTGATGGAATCCGATTTCTGACTTTCTGACCGCCAACACCCCCCCCCCCCCCCCCCCCCCCCCCCCCGCTCCTCTAGGTGTCCTCAAGGCTGTGGAACACATCAACAAGACCCTAGGCCCTGCTCTGCTGGAAAAGGCAAGAGGGAGCCTGCCTCCCTGCCCTGCAGCCCTGCTGCCCAGCCATCCTGTCCCCCCCCAGGCACCTGTGCCTCCTCTGGCACATGCCCTGAGTCCTGAGCAACGTGACCTCTGCTCTTCCCTCCCCCTCCAACCTCTCTTTCCAGAAACTCAGCGTGGTGGATCAAGAGAAAGTTGACAAATTCATGATTGAGCTGGATGGGACAGAGAATAAGTGTGAGTTGGGGGCTGGGGCCGGGGGAAGGGATGGGCTGTGGCAGGGGTGGGAGTGACCCCGGGATTATTTCCCTGGCCCGCGCTTTGGGGCACATGGTGGCTGGCTGGGTTTTTTATTCATTGCACAGGCATTTCCTGGTGCCTGCTGTCCAGGCCTGGCTGTGGCCACAGATGCGAAGCTGGCACCTTCCCCGGGCAGGGGGCTCCCAGAGCCCCTCTGGCTGCTGGGGAGAGACCCGTCAACGCCCCCCTCATGCTCAGGGCAGTGGTGTTCCGGGTCCTCTGTGGGGTGACCCCAGGCCCTGGGGGAGAAGCCTTCACACTTTCTCTGTGCTTGTGTCCCCTAGCCAAGTTCGGGGCAAATGCCATCTTGGGTGTGTCCCTGGCTGTGTGCAAGGCTGGAGCGGCAGAGAAAGGGGTCCCACTCTACCGGCACATCGCAGACCTCGCCGGGAACCCTGACTTAGTCCTGCCCGTCCCTGTGAGTGCCCCTCCTGGGAGCCAGTGGAGCAACCCCAGGAAGGTCTACACTTCAGACCCAGCTCCAAAAACAGGGTTTCTTGAGATGGAACCTCTCCTGCAGCTCTGGCCCCTCCCTCCTTCCCACAATCCGAGCTCCCCTTGGCATAAGCCCGTCCCATCACATTCCAGGGCCAGACTCAGGCATCACCGAGCTGCTGGTCCTGCCTGGGCCCCAGCTCCTGAGTCAGGTTGGGCACTGCTTTGTGCCGGGGGCTGGGCACGTCTTTAGTGTCCTCTTCGGTCCTCGTCCAACCCGGGCCTTGTTTATGGAGACCCTTTGAATCTTCGGTCAGCTGTCACATTAATGCATGTCTCCTGACTGGGCGGGTGGGATGAGAGCAGGGGCTCTGGAGAGTGGCTGGCCCTGCGTGTTTGCTCCTGTCCGACCTCAGGGGACTACATAACTGCTGTGTGTCTCCATTTCTTTGTCTGTAAAACGGGTATGGTCACCGTCCCCAGGGAACAGGGTTGCAGGGAGCAGGGAGGAAGCTCACAGACCTCATGGAAGGTCCTCAGAGTGGGGCTAGGGTAGTGTCACCAGCTGTTACAGACCAGGCCATGCTAAGGCCCAGACTGTCCGTTCCTCAGATTCTCTGCAGGAGAGCCTGCGAATAAGCAGGCAGTATCCCTGTCTTACAGAAATGGGGAAAAGAGACTCTGGGGACTAAGAGGACTCACCCTAGACCATCCGGTGGGCAATCTGGGAAGCCAGAGTTCCACCGGAACCCTCCCCACTGGCCCAGGCCTGGGGCCTGGGGGTCTGAGCCCAATCCCTCTCCCCCTGCCAGGCCTTCAATGTCATCAATGGGGGCTCCCACGCCGGGAACAAGCTGGCCATGCAGGAGTTCATGATTTTGCCCGTGGGAGCCAGCTCCTTCAGGGAAGCCATGCGTATCGGCGCCGAGGTCTACCACCACCTCAAGGGTGTCATCAAGGCCAAGTATGGGAAGGATGCCACCAACGTGGGGGACGAGGGCGGCTTCGCACCCAACATCCTGGAGAACAATGAGGGTCAGTGCGAGCACGCGGGGCAGCATGGAGGCCCGGGTCCCTGTGGAGGCTGGGCTGCAGGGACCATGTGCCCTAGAGCCTCAGGTGCCCTCTTGTCCCCTCCCAGCCCTGGAGCTGCTGAAGACGGCCATCCAGGCCGCTGGCTACCCAGACAAGGTGGTGATTGGCATGGACGTGGCAGCATCTGAGTTCTATCGCAACGGGAAGTACGACCTGGACTTCAAGTCACCTGATGACCCTGCTCGGCACATCAGTGGGGAGAAGCTGGGCGAGCTGTATAAGAGCTTCATCAAGAACTACCCTGGTGAGCCCCCCGGGTGCCCCAGTCTTTTGCCCCAGACCCTGGTGGCCGTTCCACACGTGACGCCTCCACAGCCACTGCCTCGGCCCCCACCTTAGCCCTCTAACCTGACTCCTCTGCCGCCCACTTCAGTGGTCTCCATCGAGGACCCATTTGACCAGGACGACTGGGCCACCTGGACCTCATTCCTCTCGGGGGTTAACATCCAGATTGTGGGGGACGACCTCACAGTCACCAACCCCAAGAGGATTGCCCAGGCCGTGGAGAAGAAGGCCTGCAACTGCCTGCTGCTGAAGGTCAACCAGATCGGCTCCGTGACTGAGTCCATCCAGGCGTGAGTGCCCCCCTCCTCAGCTCAGCCTCACCACCCTCCCCAACCCCTGGGCCTTGCCCCCTTGACTCTGCTGTGCCCCACTTCTACCCTCCCCCACAGTTGCTCTCTCCTTGATTGTGTTCTCCTTCTGGTGGGCATCTCAGGAGCCCACGTCCAAAATCAAGGCTCTCCCCTTCTGTCCCACCTCCTGGAAGACTTAGGCATCCCCCCTCCCATGTGACCTCTTGCCCCAAACCCAAGGGAGAAGCCCCACCCCCACCCCACGTGCTCCCTCTGAGGCCTTATCGAGTGTCCTGTTCCCAGCTGCAAACTGGCTCAGTCTAATGGCTGGGGGGTGATGGTGAGCCACCGCTCCGGGGAGACGGAGGACACGTTTATCGCCGACCTCGTCGTGGGGCTCTGCACAGGGCAGGTACTCTGGGCTCCAAGGGCCTGACCAAGTCTGCTTGGGGCCCCAAGGGGGACACCACCACATGCAGGCTCCCTCAGGGCCAGGCCGCCCCCACCACCAGCCCCAGGCAACCCTGACAACTCCCTATCCTCCCCAGATCAAGACTGGTGCTCCCTGCCGCTCGGAGCGGCTGGCCAAGTACAACCAGCTCATGAGGTATGGGGCGTGCAGTGGGCCTGGAGGTAGAGAGCCCAGGACTAGTGGGTTGGAAGGCACAGCTGACTTTGTCCACCTTCTAGGATTGAGGAGGCTCTCGGGGACAAGGCTGTCTTTGCTGGACGCAAGTTCCGTAACCCGAAGGCCAAGTGAGAAGCTGGACGCCCCAAGACCCCATGGGACCCATCTGGGCCCTCAAGCCCTTCCCTGGGAAATAAAACAGTGGTGGCAACTGAGGCAGCAGTGTGCTGGTGTGCTCCTTGGTGGGATGGAGGGGGTGCGGGCCGCCAGGCCAGACAGGAGGTGGAGAGGTGGGGGCAGGAGGGGAACACACAGTAACCTGCTGGGACACGGAAGAAGGGGCGGGCCGGTCACAGAGGAAGTGGGGTTCACTCTGGAGGGCAGGGACCAGTGGTGTGCACACCTCTTGAGGGGTGGCCGCATCAGCTCCATGCATCTGTGAGTGCTGCAGGTCTAAGGCTGTGTGCTCCTGCTCAGGAAGCTGCCCGTGGGGGAGGACGGGGAACCAGAGCCACCCACACCGCTGCGGAGCTTTTGGGATCTGGGACCCCTGTAGATGCCTGATGTGTGGACCCATGTAATCTTTGAAACCACGTCGTCAGTTACTGTTCCTCTCCACCTTACATGTGAGGAAACTAAGGCACAGAAAGTTCCCCGTGCCTCAGGTGACAGTGGAGAAGTGCTGGAGCCCGGAGCCAAAGCTGGGCATCCAGCAATCGTGCTCAGCGAATGCCTCCTCCCATAACCTGGGGGACAGCGTGGCAGCTGGCCATCCCTGGGCCGTTCCAAGAACCACCTTACGCCGTCGGGCCTAACACATTCTTCCTCCCCCGGGCCCACCCATCTCTGCTCACAAACCCCGACATCAGGTCCAACAGTGTTTATTGAATGTGAAGTCATCCCAGCCCCCTTTCATGGGGAAGACAGTCCAAGGAAAAAGAATAATACATGTTAAATACCCACCTGCACACTCGCACACTCACACACTTGCACTCACACATGCAGTACACTCGTCCAAGCTCCAGCAGTGACACGTCACACACCGGACCCCCCAAGCCAGAGACACGGCTGTCCGGGGCGGTGTGGAGCTGGGGCTCCAGGATGGGTTCTAGTAGCAGCAGCCGATCCCCCCACCCCCCACCCTGCCCCTGGGGGCCGTGGTGCCTAGGATGTGGGTGGCAACTCTTCCCCACTCTGCCGCAGGCGCTTCTTGGCCCGGATCTCGTTCATGGCCTCTTCGATGGAGCGCGTATCCCTCTTGTTGGCCACGGGCACTGGGGGTGGCAAGCAGGGGGAGAGGAGCATGGGGGGGCTAGGAGCCTAGATCACAGCCTCCCCCTACCCCCTCCCCGCCCCCGCCTGACCCGTGCCTCACCACAGCCGTAGGTCTTGTTGGCCTGCAACATGTGGGCGGCGTCCTTGGCTGCCCCCTTGCCAATGAGGTGGCTGTACTTGTCTTTGTAGTCACTAGCAGGGCTCACCACCACCGGGCCCTGCTGTGCCGCCTCCTCTTCCTGCCGCTGGGCCAACTCCTGGGGGTGCAGAGTGGGGGCACAGGGCTCAGGGGCCTGCCCCCACCTCTCTGAGGGGGGCTGTGGGGCTGCCTGCAGAGCTCACCTTCAGCTTCCGTTTTTCCTCAGCCTTCTGGGGGTCCCACTCCTCACCCCGGCGGTAGGAGTCCAGCTCCTCATCTGATGGTGCAAACTCCTGCATATAAAGGCACTTTGGGGTGGAAGCTCCACATGCATGCCACCCCATCCAGGCCTCTCCCCCCACCCAGGGATGGGAGGCGAAGGCTGCAAAGGAGAGAGGGGAGGGTGGGGGCGGGGGGGGCTTGAGCCTTTCACCTTTTTGAAGATCATTACATAGCGACACTCATCATCTTCCCCGAAGGAGAAGGACGTTAGGCCGGCCACTTCCACAACATCGTGTCTGGGAAGGGAGGTGGAGGAGAGAGGCTGTAGGGCCGCCAGGGGCCCAGCAGCCCCTGGTCCAGGTCCCCTGCCACCGGCCCTCTCACGCCTCCCGGAGCCCAGAGACACTCACAGGATGCTCCTCTCTATCTTGTTCATCGGCTGAAACTTTTTCTTGATCTGCCCACTGTCTTGGATGAAATCTGACACCTCTTTCTCCATCTTGGGAGACAGAAGAGGAACACATGAGGTGACTGCACCAGCTCCCAAGCCTGGGGCACCGGGCCTTGCCCCCCACGCCTTCTCTGGCATCCAGGCTTCTCCCTGGAGACACTTGGGACAAGCCGAGTCCTCAACCTTCCACTTCTAAATCACTGGGAGTCCGGGGTGAGGCTGCCCTCTGCCACATCCCGTGGGCTCACCCGTTTACGAAACTCCACTTTCTGCTGTTTCTCTTGCTCCTGTAGTTTCTTCAGGCGCGCAGCCTGCTCTGGGGGGAGAGAAGGCGGCATGAGGCCGGAGTCACAGGGGTCGAGGTCCTGCATCCCCTGGGGGTGGTCTCCACAGGAGAGCAGGGTGAGCGGCTGGGCCCCATGCAGTGCCAGGCCCTGCGGCACAAACTCTGACACGAAGTTTTGCCCATCAAGACCTCAGTCTTTACTGGAAGCAATGAGGAGAATCACGCTGGGCCCTCCTTCCCACCCTCGCCCCGGGGGGGGGGGCGGGTCTGAGACCTGAGACAGCTGGTGAGCTGGGAATAGTCAGCCCTGGCCTCCAAGAGCTTACCGTCAGGCTGTCTACACAGGAAAGGGGAAACTATTTAACTTCCTATATTTGGTAACACCCCCACTTCTCACTTCTGCAGACAGGACAAAGCTGAAGTGCTGAGTCTGGCACCTGCCCCGTTGGGAGTGCAGGTGTCCAAGGTGAGCTGAGACAGTGCTCCTCCAGCTCTGGTCTTCATGCCCCGTCCCCTCTCCCCTGCCACCTCAAATTGCTCCTATCCACAGGTGAGAGTCCCTCCAACTGCCCTGGACCACTTCCTGTTCCCCTAACTACTCAGCGTCTTTGCACCTGTGGTTCCTTCTGCCTGGAGTGCTTTTCCTCCTCTTGCACACCAAGCCTCATCATGAGTCAAGAGTTGCTCAATGGTTCACGTACTCATTCTAGTGTGTGCTGAGAACCACAGAATGTAATTTCTCCACCGTGGCGAGACTGTGGGGTGGGCTTCTTGCAGTAGGGTCCCTGTTCACCTCCCACCCAGTTACTCTAAGCTTCCAGGGCCTGACAGCTGGCCAGCCTCCCCTCTCTAACCTCAGGGGCTTTTCCACCAGAGACCTGACTGGCCTGACCGTCCTGACCACTGGCTGCTCTCTAACTGGTCTGGGTCTTCCCTCTGCATCTGAGGAGGTGCCTTAAGATGAAGGTTAAGAACGCAGGCCAAAAAAGGAAAAATCGCAGGCAGGTTTAAAGCCCTCCCCCTTGGTAAGACCGTGACCTCGGGCAGGTGCCTGAACTCTGCACCTCGGCTTCCTGGGCCAGCCTCTGCCGCGGGGAGTAGGAAACTGTGGTCTCCAACGGCCCGGTCCATGTGCCCCGTCCCGGGTCGGTGGAGAACACAGATCCGCGCCCTAGGGGGCCGGCGGCTGCCCCCTCGCTGACTGGTCCCTCTTCGGCTGCCAGCCCCGCGCGGGGCCGGCCAGGACCCTTGACAGCTCCTCCCGGGGCACGTCATTAAGAGGGCCCGCAAACCTGGGGTGACCAACGCAGGCAAGCCGCAGACTGAGGGCTCCGCGCCCCCCGCCCCGGCGCGCCCCGGTTCGCGCAGGGACCTGAGCCCGCCGGGGCCGCTCGGGAAGCCGGGCGGGGGGCCGGCGACCAATCGGACGGCCAGGGCGCCCTCAGTCCCTCCCATCGGCCGCCGGGGACAGGGTTGCCCAAGAGGAAGGACGGTGGGGACACGGAAGGGACCGGGTTAAAGCAAGTAGGAGGGGCGCGAGCACCCTGATGGCCCCGCCACCAATCGGAAGCACCGAAGGTGGGGCGGGCCCGGGGAAGGTCGGACCAGACTTCGTAGGCAGAGCCCTAGGCGGAGGGAGCCAATAGGGGCGAAGGGATCAGCGGACGGGCGTGCCCCGCACCCAATCGGAATGAGGACGAGGGCGGGGACTCGCGAGGCGGATACGCCCCTCTCCGACCCGCAAGGCCGGCCCTAGGCGGAGGGGAGGCGAGGAGAGCCGAGCGGACGGAGGCAGCCAGCCAATCAGAGCACGACGGCGGCGGACTGGCGGGCCCCCCGGCGAACTGGAAGCAAGGACTGCGGAAGGCCAGTAGGAAAGAGGCGGGAGGCTGGCGCTGGGCTCCAGGCAGCCAATCAGGAGCCGCTCAGGACAGCAGGCGGGCCGGCAGCCCTTTTAGGGACTCTGGGGGTCTCTGTAGGGGCCTGTGAGGGGGGGGTCTTTCAAGGTTGAGGCGGCGGCACCGTCCGAAGGAGGGAAGCGTGCGGTCCTGAGAACCGGGCGAAGAAAGGCGGTTGTGAATTTAGGGTCCTCACCTCGGGCCTTGCGCCGAGACTCCTGGTCCCCGAGGCTGGGTGGCTTCTCCATGGAGCTCAGGATGGAGCCCAGTAGGTCCGCCATCTTGGGAGTGACTGAGAAGGGGCGGTGCGTCTTAAAGGGAAGGGCGAAATGCCTTTAAGGCCGGAAACACGTCGGAGGCGCTGAGCTCCGCAACCGCCCCGCCCCACCTCACCCCACCCAGCACCCCGCCCCGGCGCCCCACCCCGCCCCGCGTAGACAGAGGCCGGAGGCTGGCTGGTGCAGCGATGTTTAATGGCAACTCGTAGAAACCAAGCCCATGCACAAGTAGAAAGTGCTCGTGGAGCCGGCCGGGGGCCCCCGCCGCGCCGTGGCCCTCCCCGCGGCGCCGTAAATAGATTCTTCACTATACTCTGTATGTTACAGTATGTACAGGCCCCCCCATCGCGGGGACCACCCCGCCCACGCCGCACCCCCTCCCCGGCCCGGGGCCGCCCGCGGGCGTCGGGGAGGCGGGCCGCGGGGGGAGGGAGGACACACGCCAACATGCGGAGTCAGGTGGGGGCCGAGGCGGATACATTCAGAGACGCGTCCAACAAATAAATAAGGCAAGTCAGGAGGGGGCTGAGGCGGGCGCAGGCACGGCTCCGCAGGTCACGGCTGAAGATGCAAGGAAGAGGGCGGGTCTGGGGGGGCCGAAGAGCGGGGGCGTGGAGGGTGGGAACAGCTGCCGACAGGGTCTCCCCTCCCCCGGAGAGCCCTCTCCAGGTTAAGACTGCCAGAAGCGGCCCCCAGGGCGGTGAGGAAGGTGGGGCGTAGGTCAGGTGGCCAGGCCGGGCTGGGGGAGCCCTTCCAGCTCCTGGTTCTGCTTCAGTTCCCTCATCCTGTGGAGAGACCGGGAGGGAGTCAGTGCCCTGTCCATGTGACCCGGTGTGTGTGTGTGGGGGGGGCGCAGGTGCCCGCTGTGGGGGAGGGTGTGGGGGGGCGGGGCGGGGACCCAGCCGGAGAAGGGAGCACCTGTGTCGGCAGCGCCGCAGGAAGCGCATGATCTTCCGGGCTGCCTGGTCCTGTTTCTTGGTGAGAAAGGAGCCTCTGCTGGAAGAGGAAAAGATGAGAGGCCCTGGCACAGCAACCCCTGCCCTCAGCCCCTGGGTCCCTGCAGGGACAGGCTGGGGCAGGAGCTGGGCTGGGGCTGGTCTGCGGACAGGGGGGCACGGGCACGGAGGACTGCAGGCCGCCTACTTGCTGCGGGCCGGCAGGGTGCCCGCTGGTCGGCGGCGATAGGAGCGGTAGTGCTGCTGGATGAGCACCGCCGCGCGGCGGCTCTGCTGGAACCGCTTCTGCTCGTAGTAGCTCCGGAACTTGCTCTGGATCAGGATGGCCGCCTGGGTCATCTTCTTGTAGAGTGCAAACTGCAGACGGGGTGTGGGGGGGGGAGGGACAGGGGCTGAAGTGGAAGAACAGAGACCCGGACCCCTGCAGGTCACCCCTGAGTCAGCTGGTGCTAGTCTGTAATACACATGCTCTTGGCTCATGGAAAGGCTGAATCCTACAGACAACCTTGTACCCAGACCTCATGCCCTAATACCTTCAGTGCAATCCAGGTCAGCTTGTGGAGAGAGAAGGGGAGTTAGGGCGTCAGCAGCATTCTGGATGCTGGGCACAGTGGATGTGAGTGTGTGCACACACTGGTGGGTGTGCCTCCCAGGGAGAAAGTGCTCACCTGCTTGTACTTCCGGTAGCAGCGCTGGATCACAGCGGCTGCCACCTCCTGCTGTTCCTTCAGCCTCCGGCCCTGAGGCAAGAGAAGGAAGTCAACACCCAGAGGCCCACACCACTGGGACACTGCCAACCGCCACCATCTGACCTGTCCCTCGGTTTGCCAGGAGCCCACCATCTCCCCTGGCCTGAGCTGCTGTGATTCATGCTCTGGGCCCCCCAGCCATCGGACCTTGTACTTTCGGAAGGCTGTCTGGATGACTCGAGCTGCCTCGTACAGTTCCCGCTGCTCATGATCCGACAGCGTCAGCAGGGCAAAGTCACTCTCCATCTTGCCGCTGGCAGAGGCGGACAGAAACTCTGCCCAGGAGGGTGCTGGAGGGACAGCCAGGCGCCCACGCTCCAAGGGTAGTTCGCTGTAGGGGACAGGGAGGAGAGGTCATGGGGCATCTGAAGTCCCCCCTCTTTCACCTGGGCACCTCTGTGAAGGCAGACCTCCAGCAACAGAGTGTGATGAGGGACTTCAGGGGTCCCCAGCCAATTCCAGTCCTTTCCTCAAAGGCCCCAGGGCCTGAGCCGCAGTGGAGTTTGGCTGTGGGAAAGCCCTCTTCCCGCTCCCATCTTGCTTTGATAGGTCTGATGCTTCGTCCTGAGCTGCTCACCTGGGAGGGGCTGAGCTGGGGAAATGGTCCACATTCTCCAGGTAGCTGGCCAGCCAGGACATGGTCTCGCTGAGCCCCAGGGCCCCTGTCCGCTCCCTCATTGGTGCTCCAGCCTCAGGCAGCCCCACAAAGTCCTCTCGTTTAATCCGCTCTGGTGTGGCTTCGATGATCTGCTTGGCCAGTGAGATCATGTCCACCTGGGTGAAGGAGAAGCTGGGTGAGCCCTGAGCTGGTGTTCCTGCCAGAGCTGTAGCCAGAGTCCCCCTCCTGTCCCATCACTCCCCTCGCCACCAGACGATGAGGCCTCAGGGATGGCTGTCCCTGCTCCCCAGACGTCCTCGGCCACCATCTCAGAGTCTCGCACTTATAGCCCCTGGGCTCCTACTTGGATGTACAGCTCTCTGTGTTGAGAGGTGGAAAGCAGAACAGGACAGACCTGCTCCAAGTGGGCATGGAGGAACTGAGCACTTGCCCTCCTAGGCTGACTGCCCGCTGCCCCCCTGGGGCCTGCCCCATGCCAGCCACCAGCACGTTCTCCCCATGGGCTCAGCCGTGCTCACAGCCCTGGCCCCTCGAGCTCCTCAGGAACCAGTCTGGCACCTGCTGCTTACACAGCACCCCTAGCCGGCCCCGTGCAGCACCCTGTTCTCTAAGCTGTACATAAACTACCCAGTCACCCCGGGGCGCCTCTCTAAGGCATGCTCACCCCAGGTTTTAGCAGGGCGGCGTGCTGCTACGCTCGAAGACTGCCTCCCGGCCTGAGTCTTCACTATTGCCCTGTGCAGGCCTCCGCCCTGCCCTCCTCACTGCCAGCCTCTCTGCAATTTGCTCCACCTGCTTCCCTGCATCACGCTGGCTCCCCAAGAGCCCTGTGTCTGCAGGGATCCATGGTAACCCCTAGACCCGGCTCTGCCTGAGGCTGTGCCCCAGGATGCTTAACCTTGGATGCCTCCTGATTTTAGAGTCACAAGCTCTGACAGGACATAAGCAAAAGGTTACCTTTACCCAGAGAAGGGTAAATGGTCCCTTCTTCGCAAAGCAAAGCCAGAGTCTGGTTCTGGTTTGTGGGATGATAGGTGTCTCTGCCCACCCGCACCCCCACTCTGGCCCTCAGCTCCACGCACAAGAGCAGTGTAGGGTGCCCTACCGGGATCACATCCACAGCCGGGGGGCTGTCTGCTTCCTCTGAGGCAGCCCCACCCTCTGGGGCTGGGGGGAGAGGAGGCCGTGAGGGTACCGGCTCTTGAGGGTTGGTGGCTTCACAGTCCATGAGAAATAGGGGGCCCTCAGGGGCACCGGAGGAGAGCTGGCCTGGCATGGTCTCTTCCATAGCCATCTCGGAGGCCAGCACAGGGGCGGGGGGAGGACTGCCATCTGGGGCGCTGGAGTAGGCTGACGTGACGGAGAAAGTACCATCCGACAGCTCCGAGGGTGAGGAGACGCTGCTCAGTCCTGCGAGGGGGGGTGGGTGAGGGTAGCGGAGCCCTGGCTACCCCTCCTCTCCCCACCACAGCCTCCCCTTGCAAAGATGGGGGACAGCCCTCACCTGTGTCTGGGCTGGAGG